CGATGCAGGGGATGCAGGTTCGTGCCCTGGTCTGGGAAGATCCCACATGCCGCGGAGCGGCTGGGCCCGTGAGCCATGGCTGCTGAGCCTGTGCATCCGGAGCCTGTGCCGGGAGAGGCCACAACAGCGAGAGGACCACGTACCGCAAAAAAAAAAAAAAAAAAAAAAAAGCTTTGACACAGCAGAGTAAAGCCCTCTCTAAACACTTCTGCTCTTATTAACCACCCCAAAACAGGAACAAGTTAGAGAAAAGGGAACTCTGCCTTCAACAACATAACAGCCAAACACCCTGAACTGAAGAGCCCTGCAGCAAGTTGCCAAGGGTAGTAATAACCCCACCAAGACGAGTGAGGATGCCAGGAGGAAACACCAGTGACTTCACACCCCAGGCAAGCTACACAGGTCTCCAGAGGGAGGAAAAGCAGTGAGCCTTGCGTGGAAAAAGACCAGTTTGAGCAGAACAGCTGAGAAGCCGCCCTCCCCAAGCCCCACCTGCCATCAGAGCACAGGCCGCAAGGTTAGACGAAGCATCTTTGCCATCAGCTGCAAGGCAGAAAAAGCTGGGCAGAAGCAGCTTCACCCAGACACTGCCCCCCGCCCGGCCTCAACTCACACACACAGCCTGTCCAGGAAGAATTCCCCTCATTCAAAGATGAGGAAAGAACACAAAGAAACCAGCCAAAGACCATATAAAGACACTGAAAGAAAAAGAGAGGGAAGAGAGGAAAGTAACAGGAAAAACAAATGGCAGACAAAAAAACATGTACCCCGAAAAATTTAAAAATACAGCAGATGAAAATCATGATAAAGACATTTCAAAAAATTCAAATATCTATTTTAAAATAATAACCATTATCAAATAGGAGGAAATTAACAGGATTACAGAAAGATAAAAAGAATAAATAAACCTGCTTTTTTGTCATTCAGCAATAGGTTGTGAACATTTTTCCATGTCAATAAATATGGTTATACATCACATATTTAAGCTGCAAAACAAAGAAAGAAAGAAAGAAAAAAAGAATAAATAAAAATTCTCTGGGCCTTTTGGCAAAAACTCCCACATTACCCTTTGTTATAGACTGAGCTGTGTCTCCCAAAATACCTATGTTGAAGCCCAACCTCCAGTGTGACCGCATCTGGGGACGAAGCCTCTGGGGAGGTAATCAAGGTTAAATGAGGTCATGGGGGAAGCCCTAATTTGAGAGGACCAATGTCTTTGTAAGAAAAGGAAGAGACACCAGAGAGCTCTCTCTCGCACACGCACAGAGGAAAGACCGCATGAGGACATAGCGGGAAGGCGGCCATCTGCACACCAGGAAGGAAGGTCTCACCAGAAACCAACCCTGACAGCACGTTGATCTCGGACCTAAAGCCTCCAGAACTGTGAGAAAACAAATGTCTGCTGTGTAAGCCACTCAGCCTGTGGGATTTTGTTATGCTTAGTTCGAGCACCTAAAACACCCTTAAAGCAGGAAAAGTACAGCCAGCCTTGGCCATCAACACAGATACATTTGTAGCACTGGGACACATGGGGCCACACTTACAGAGTCTTCAGGGCAGGAAGGTGTGACCCAAGAATTCTATACCTGGCCACACTGCCAATCAAGTATGTTACAAAAACAAAGGACCTTTAAACATATAAGAACTTGGGAGAGTTTGGTTCCTATGAAGCCTTCATGAATTAACTATTAGAAGAATGCAGAAAGTACGGCCAAAGACTCACAGTGAGCAATTAAGCCATTTAAGATGTAGGAATAAAGATTTTCCTTTCCAGGGAATAACGGCTATAGAACAGAATGCAAACATTATAAATTAAAACAGCAGAACCAGCATCAAGTTGAGAGGTACAGATGGAAGGAGAGAATATAGACACTGATATCCTCGTACCATGGAATCAAAAGATAATTGTCTTATTACAGAGTATCAGAGACATCAGTAAACCTAGAGTTGTAAATAGCAGAATAAGTTTAGTAACATAATCAATCAAAAGCAGGTGACAGAGGAAGAAAGAAGAGGTAAGAAAATGTGGAAATGTACCAACTTGATCACTAAGCTCAGCAGG